TTAAAGGCTTTTAAATATAAAGATTGAAACAAAACTAAGCCAGAAATATCAGTTATTAAAATTCTGTAGTAGAAACTTATAATTGTAAAATGCAATATAAGGTATTCTCAATTATTTTTTAAGAATATCAGTAGTGGCATTAGTAAGATCCACAGGATATAAACATAATTCTTAATTTTTGCCATGAAAGTAAAACAGAATTCCAATAAAATTACTGCTACTTTTTTTTATAGATTATGAATAGAATGTTATTGAAACTTTCAGTTCATAATATAGTAAATAGCAAGAATGATGTTTAAATCAGATGATGCTAAAATTTTGAGATTATTTAAAAATATAAATCCTACTAAGGCCCATATATACTAATCCCTAATTGTAAATTTCAATCCAACCACTAAAAAAACCAACAAAAAATATCTCTAAAAATTTTTGGTCAAATTTTCAGCATCATCCTCATCCTATAGTATTATATTTTCGTTCAGGAGATAGTTGCATATTAAAGACTATGTCTCATCTTACACTATAACTAGAGGTGGCAATACATGGATCCTGTGCATAATTTATTACATGATATGTGGGATAATTCAGGCCAATACTATAATTCCAGCTAAAATTTACAGTAATCCCAATAATTCTACAAATCACATACAGAATTTTTGAAGATACTACGATTTGCTCATCTTTTTTTTTTTTGGTGTTAAGATAACCTCTATAGCTAGAAACTTTTTATTAGACTTATTAATTTCAGATTATACAGTTACAATGAGAATATATCAAACCACATATATATTTTTAGTACTTAATTTAAGTAGTTCACCTTGATTCTACACTAGCTGCTATACCTGCAACCTAACTAGGAGATTACCTATTTAAGCTTTCTAATTATTACTAATAAGAGTACGACTAGCCATGTATGCAACTTTTGGTTACCTATTTAAGTAGTTTGCCCTAGGTTTCACACTAGCTGCCATGCCTGCATCTCAACTATGGGGATACCTATTTAAACTCTCTGGTCACAACTGCCATCTATTTCTAAACTAACTAAATTGTAACTCATTATTTATATATAGATTTTACAACACCTATAGATTTTACACCTATCTTAAAACTTACTAACTATTTTTGGCTAATCTATCTATAAGATAAACCTAACAGAGTAGTCCATGTTTTATTTTTATTAGTAAAAATGTTGTTGGATTATAATCATAACATGTACTAGCGGAAACATATTTATACCTGCATGTTTAGTAATTTCTTTCTAACTAGTACCTGTTGTGCTGCTGTTTTCAGATTTGTATCTCAAGCTAATCTTTAGAATACTGCTGTAACCTGATCTGTATCTCAAGCCATAATCTTTCTAATTAGTTGTAACTGTGTAGATAAACACGTTCGTTACTTAGGAAGTTGTCTTTATTATTTTTCAAAAAAAAAGGGTAAAAACCTTTATTTACTAATTGCTCCCCTTTTATATGCCTTACATGCAATAGATTCTTACAAATCAACTATTTGACTATGACTATATTTATTATGCGTATTACTAATTAATTTCTCTAACTACGACCCCGCTTAATTAATATCGTCATTAATTACATCACTAATTTCCGGTGCACGATCATCGTTCGTGATCGTATCACATGAGCACGATAAATACCGGTTTTCTTCTTTTAATTTATTACCCGATTGTACATTAGTTGCCTTCTTGTTATGAACCTGTTTATGATCGATCTCCGTCCCTTGCATGTAATTGTTACTGAAACTATTATATCCGAATTGATCATTGTTTCATGAACTTAACCCGTTACATTAGTCTTTTATTATATACTCCTTGTCTTTATAAAGTTTGTACAACTACAGTACCCACATTCAAACTTTCTTTCTTCCTTGGATTCTTTACTAGTCTTTCCCTTATTTCTAGCTAGCAACCCAGAAGAGTCAGTCTGCCCAGGCTTTAGATGTCTTATAGTCTCTCTTCTCTTAGTAATGCTTCCAGAGCACATGTCCTTTTCTTCAGATTGGTAACCAAGCAGTTCAGCTGGTGTGTTTCTCACTTAAAGACCTAATTGCTTGGTTCTCTGGTCTTGGTTTCCAATTCCAAATTCAGTCTTCCTGTAGCACCATTGAAGATCATACTACCTCTTTACTTAGGACTTGCCAAACAGGTTTTCAGTAATTTTAGTTTTCTAGATTTATTATGCCAAAGCTCCTATTTGAGATAGTGTGACCAAGATTACAGATATCTGAATTCAACTGATAATCTTAACGTTAACTGATACAAATCTAGATTTTCAAAATTATTGTCCATAAGATTTGAACTCTAGACCTGCCATCTGGGGGTATGACAACTCCACCACTTCACTAAGTCACCACACCTATTTGATTTACCTATCTTTAACTATAACTATTGTAATATACCAACTGATATATAAGTTTTATATTTTTTACATAACTTACAACTATATAAAATATTACAAATATCAAGCATAGCAGAAGTTTATTTTGATTAGTTGTTAAAATACCCCAAAAAAAGTTGATCATATCCTGAATAGAGTATTGGTTATATCCTGGATAAAGTTTTATTACTTACAAACTTTTAAAAAATTAAGCAAAACTCTCTAAAGACATATATTAGAACTTTATAATACATTAATTTAGTTTTGTAATAACTACTTTATTTAGATTTTACAAGATGTTTATTATTTTTTTTCATGATAAATACATATAAATATCTACTAAATAATGTATATACAACTATTATCACATAGTATTATAAATGTCATATTCATAAACTATACTTAATATCTAAATAAATATAATAAAAAATGTTAGAATATGGTTCAGAGTAATGGCTCAAAAGAAACTTTTTATTTGTAAAAAAAAACAAGTAGTACTAGTTGAAGCAGAACTTTCCAAATTCACTCACCAATTGTTTAAACCACTGAACTATCTTCTGACCTTTCTAAATCTTTATCTCTTATCTTATTCTTGAAACTATTACATCTAACTACATCTTAGGCTAAAAAACAAGAAGTTTAAAGATAAACTACTAACTACTCAAGTTGGTTGTTATGTTTTTGTATTACAAAAAAAAGTTTCATATGACACGATAATTTTTACTATTTAAAAGTACTTTAAAAATTACAATTGAATATATAAAAAAAAGATCATTGTCAATCATATTTATCATAATATTAGCCAATCAAAACAAACTTCTGCTATGCTCAAATATCATATAATAATTAGAGTTAATAATAAAAATAATAAATTTATATGTTAGTAATAGTAGTTGCCTTTAGTTATTAAAAGATTTAATTAAATAACCATTATATATTTTTTTTTTAGTGTTAAAGGTGATCTCTTTGGCCATAGCTTTTTATTAAAAGTTTTGTTTCAGTTACAATAATAGTACAACTAGCCACACATACAACTTTTGGTTATCTAATTAAGTAGTCCACCTATTTTAGGTTCTACACTAGCTGCCATATCTGCAATTTAACTAGGAGATAGCCTATTTAAACTCTTTGGTTTGTTTTACAAATGAGGGTATGACTAGCCACACATACAACTTTTGGTTGCCTATTTAAGCAGTCTATCTTAGATTCTATACTAGCTGCTATACTTGCAACCCAACTAGGAGGTTACCTATTTAAACTCTCTGATTATAACCTAATTTCACCTGGTGGAATCTTCTAACTCGGTTACCCAAATTTTGTTTATGTCTTAGAACTTACAACTTTGGTCTATTCTCAAAGTAAACCTACTAAAGCCTTCTATATCCTATTGGCTGACCTGGTACCGCAGTTGCCAAGGCTCTCACTTGCAGTTGAGATTACTCTTATTTAACTGCTGCACCCTTATGAGATTTGCTTCAACCCTGACATCTCTATTTGGACTTCTCTTTTTTTTCAGATTCTTAACTGGTTTCTCTTTCTTCCAGCTAGCAAACCAGAAGGGTTAATCTCCCCAGGCATTAGGTGCCCTATAGGTATCCTCCCCTTAATATATACTTCCAGAGCAAATATCCTTTTCCTCCAGTTTTGGCAAACTGGCAGTTTGGCTGGTGTGCCCCATTTAAGAACCTGGTTGCTTGGTTCTCTGGTCTTGGTCTTCAGTTCCAAGTTCAGTCTTCTTGTAGCACTGTCGAAAGTCTCCATTACCTCCTCACTCAGGACTTCCCAAATGGGTTTTGATCATCATAGTTTCTTGGCCTTTTATATCGAATCTCCTATGCAAACATGGTGTCACCAAGATTACAGGTTCTGGGACCCAACTGATCAACCACGACAATCACTGTATCACAGACTTATTTTTTAAAAATGTCATCCATGGGATTCGAACTTTGGACCTGCCACTTGGTGGAGTAATGACTAGACCACTTCACTAAGCCACCACATCCTTTTAAATAACCGTTATATATTTAATTAACTTATCATAATTATATATAAAATTAATCAATCATAATTGATTATATAATCATCGAACTTTGATATTTCATACTGTGCTTGTATCATAGATAAGAAACCTGATAACCCTAACTAAATTTCTGCATACTATACTGCTTGTTATGTTTGTTTGAATTTATATAAAAGCGATTCAGTTCTTTGGATTATAGACTTGGTGCACAGCTTTAGTTTAAAAAGGTATGCTCTTAAAGTTTTTGTGCATTAATTTTTATATACTGTATACAAATTTTTTCCATTTATCACTAATATTTTTATTTTTCATCATGATTAGTGTAGTTTAATAACTTTAAAAAACATGTAGAAAGCTATCAAATACTAAATTTAATAATTATTAAATAATGTTAATGATAGTAAAGTTAGTGTGTTTATATTACAGCCATACATAGTTTACAGCCTATGCTATTAGTTGGAAATTCTACATGTGCTACATAAAATGTGTAAATTAGAATTATTTTAACTACATGCTCTTGAGAAAATTTTAAATTTTTAGAAGAAAAAATTCCCAGATAATAATAAACAAAAAGTATGCCAAAAATATATTTATGGGAAGGATGACCCTGAAAACAGCATCGTTGAAAATCGGGTACTCTGTGACGGTTGTGTATTTTCTATTCCTTGAATTCTAGTAAATGGATAAGTACCGCTAATTAAGTCCATATGTTGCTGGACGGCAATAAAAGCATCGGAAGATAGATTTGCAGTGTTCTGAGATCTCGTAGGCAGCATACCAATATTTAGAGCTCTTTGAAATTGACCATTAGCATTTTGTGGCCCACCAATAATCTGGGATCTTAGTAACTGGCCGCTATTATTCCGTATTTGAACGCTAATAATTTGAACCGTAGGTTGGCTCATGAATATAAAAGAATTTCGTAGAAAGGTGAAAACTAGAGTGTTTAAACAAAGAGTTTATATAAGGTGTTCGATTCTAGTTCGGTTCTTGATTTAGGAATTATTAAACCGATTATGTCCCGATACATTAAAAGCAATATGTATGACAAAGAACTGTTTATGATGTCATGAAGCGATTATGAAATCAGTCTAAAATTCGGTCACCATATCCGAGCATTTAGTTCCAATGTAATTTTAATTAGCGAGTTTTTTTGATTTATCAATAAACGCTAAACTCCGTGAAAATTTTCTGAGCCTCAGATCTATATTGATAAGGTATCCAATTCATCATTTTCGCTTATCTATTATTCTACAAAAAAATATCTAATTTGTAACAATGTATTTTGTAAAGATAAATTTAAAAGTATCAAATATATAAGCATATAAATATAAGCTAAACTATATATATGGAATAGAACATTAAATATGCGTGTATCTAAACATACAGCACTATAAAAAAAAATCAATAATATCCAAAATTTACGTTAATTATTTTGATTAATTATATTTGTGATAGTGTAAACTGTAAATCCCAATTATAGATGGTTAAATTGTAACTCATGGCATAAGCACAGAGGCATGTACAATTAAGATAATAATGCAAGAATTCGTACACATCTCGTTAAATAGAGTTTATCATCTCATGAAAGTTTTGATGCAAACGATTTTCTTCTTCAACCTTTGAAAAAAAAATCAATACATAGATCCTTAAATGTGTATAGAAAAGTGTTATGCACATAAATTAATTATATATTTACGTTAACTATAAATTTTTAACTTGATAGAAAAAAAACTGGTATAACTATTTCAATATTTCGAATAAATACAGTCAGACCTCCATAAATGCAACCCCCTAAATGCAACACCTCTCTAAATGCATGATAAAAGACTAGCCCCATGATGGGATTTATAGATAAATGCATGTTCTTTATTCTGCAATTGCACGCTAATTGCCTGGCCCACTTATAAAAACTCCCCCGAAAAATGAACAACTGATCAAAACGCTGGAAAATTCTCGCCGATTATTTAATTTACATCAACCAATAAAATTGGTCCATTTTTATATGTTTATTTCATTTTACCCCCAAGAGTTCTAAAGGTGATGTTAACTGAAGAATTAACTTCAAACGGCCTCAATTACAAATAAAATATACCAGAGTTTCAGAATTATAAAATTATTTAAAGTAATAATTGATTCTGATGCCTAAATTAACCTACCTAAAATTAATATTACTGTATTGTTGTTGTTTGATGAATAGATTGGCGGATTGGTTAGCTTATTGATAATTATTGATATATAATAAATCATATGCTTTTAATCAAAGTTATGTAAATTAAAATTTTATGCTGTTAGCTAATTTAGATCAATTTGAATTTAGTTGAGTCAGTTCGCATTGAATTACAGTATGTATAAGTTTAAGAATACTTCATAGTTCTACACTTATATTTATTTTTAATACCAATTTGTGAATTCGCCTAAACTTTATTTATTTCATACAAAATTTCAGTTATTGTTAAACTATCTAATTTTCATTTTTACTTGATTTTATTGATATGCAAAGAATTGCATTATGTTTACACTTTCTTGCTTTTAAGCCTCAAATACTACATATTCCTTCTATTCTTGGTCGTAACTGCATCATTAGTAAGGAACCAATCTTACAGGACCATTATTTTAATTTTCTTATTTGGAAATCTATGCTGATTAACAATAGACACTTAAATTTTTACGAAGAAGTGAGTATCTAAACCTGTCTCAGAGTACTAATAAAAAATCCGGAAGAGTAATTTTATCTCTAATATTATCCATTTCTTAACCTTAGATCAGCTTTAAGCTTAATTTTAATTGTTTCGCTTTAATATCATCCAAATAAGCGATAAAAAATGTTTCAATAACATCAATTTTAGAATCCTAAATTATTTTTAATTGGTGGAAAATTGTTTAACCAGTCAAATAAGTTTATCATTGTAAGGAAAAAAAAAAATAGCCAAGTCGACTTTTTTTTCTCATAAAGTTGTGTTGATTGGTTAATTTAATTACTAAATTTTTTACATAATTTTCGTAAGGATTGCTTCAATTAATCATAATATTTGTGCATGAGCTCGATTATTAGTCAATCATATTAAGGGATGTTTACACCCTTAATAAGATGACGCATGTGATTGTGTAAATTGATTTGAATAGATGTAGATATAAATGTGGCTCTTCTGCCAACCGGTTTTCTAACCACTCTTGGATAAACATATCTCTAGTATAGATATAGTCACAGATTTCATCTTCATTTACAAATATGACTTGTTGGATGATAGATGCGTTTTATTTTAGGATTCCTAAGTGAATTTGACATAGATCAGAGAGCAGTCAAATAGTACCGTAAAATACAGGCGCAGTACCCAGTGTGATGAAATTTTTAACATAGTGCAGTAGTGAAAATTAAAAATTATCTGCATTACACAATTGTTTACATCACATGCACATATAAATAGTATTTTAAAAATTGATCTACATTATTTGTCACTGGGTATTCACGTCCGTATTTTTTTTTTTGCTTACAGTGTATATTTCCATTTTCAAAAAAAAAACCAAAAATACTTAGTTAAAAAAAAAAGTTATGAGACCTTTTGCAGCTGAAGGGCTGAGAATTAAAAATTTATGTTTGCAATATTTCGGCACCAGATTTATCAAATTTCACGATCTGATTGGTGTATTATCACATGATCTGCCCCGCCATTTATGAACCCTTAATTAAGTAATTACACAGAATGATTTACATTATGCATGCGCTAACCATGAAAATTCTTAAATCTCCAAAACGCAAATTTTTAATATCACTAGGTCGCCAAAATGTAATCATGTCACATTTGACACCAATCGTGTATCGTAAGTTGACTTCAAAGTTCGAGAAATCGAATCACAGAGTTAAAGGATTGATTCAAAATGATGTAAATACAATTACAGTAGTCAATTTGAATATCAATGAATTTTGTAACTATAATTAAGGGTTTTATATTATTGACGTTTCTTTATAGTATATTCATTCCAATAATAATTATCACCAAATATAGAATTTCGCATCAAATGTTTGTACTGGCTACAATGTCACGAATATTAATATGGAAATAAAACTATGCGTAATAAGAACATTTATTGTATACTCATGTAGGTACGTACATACCTTACCATATTAATGCACGTTATTACGTCATTTTTAATACGCGCAAGATACAAAATTTCATCGGTGATGAGCGAATTTGTGTATCCATTTAGAAATGACCAAACAAAATGCAAAATATAAGATTATATTGCAAATATGGGGTCTTTGCCTTGAAAATCACGTTATGGGACATAGTAAATTATATGTTCCATAACGTGATTTTCAAGGCAAAGACCCCATATCTTAGTGTTTCATTTAACTGACCAGACTTAAAAATTTACCATGTTATTTGCTTTATTACGATAAATATAATCGTTTACTATTTTAGAATTGTGTATTACGCTTTTGTCCGAATTACTTAGCCAATATATCCTATAAAAAAGTCGATCCGTGTTTTATTTTCCATGTTTTCCGTAAATAAAGAATATTCTCAGAATTTATAATCTTAATTCAGTGATAATTCAACATTTCTTACAGTGATAACTTTAGCATATTTAAATTATGATTCTAACTTGTTTATGTTGTAGTGATGGAGCTGACGAACAATCTTGCATTTTACTTTTCGTGTAAAAGTATAAAATCCTCCGCGACCCAGATTAATAAATATAAGAAAGTATTAGAAATACGTAAAATAAATACATTGATTCTAATGTTTAATTAACAATGAGTTGATTTCAGCTATCATAAAAAAAAAGTTCAATGTTAGCATTAGTTTTTAAATCGTTTTTTTCGTTCTATTAAATTAAACTCGAAACTTTGTAGAATAACTCTACATACAGTACAGTCAACCCCCTCTATAATCACACGTTTTGTTTACTTAATAACTTTTTTAAAAATGTGCTTATAAAGAGGTTGTGCTTATATAGAGTTAGTTTTTTATATGTTTAATAGTAATTCGTTTTTGAGTATAGAATGTGATAAAGAGGGGTTTTTATATAATGTGCTTATAGAGGGGGTGACTGTAGAGGAGGATGACTGTATAAGGGAACAGTTATACTCATATGGTCGTCAAACACTTATTGATAAAAATGGAATAATTTTCTCTCGAGTTTTCATTTAAGCATGTATTTCAGTTTATATCAATTTTACTAATTCAATTTTCAAAAGTACATATGCAGAATTTCTTAGTTGCCCACTTGCATTAATACTTTTTAAAATTCTTTGGGATTTTATTTATTCTTTAATTAATTTTTTTTAAATAAGTTTTCTACCTAATTGGAATTCACAATATGGGACAATGTAGAGCATACACATCTGCATTCTTGAGAATGGTTTAGGAGGTATAAAGCCTGCCTACATTCGAACGATGTAGGAGCTCAGTGTCTGATTTCACATAATTTGCCAGTGCGATTTTGTAATGGTACTCAAATTATGAATGGTATTGATGCGACGTAAAATCGGGACTTCACCAGAAATAGTGTTTCGCAACTACGAAACTACAGCAAAAGAAATAAAACCTTTTTTTCCTAGAATTTTATGACTAGACTCCCAAAAGTTTATTACCTTATCCCATGTTGTATTTACTGGAACTACGATCTCGTATCATAGTTAATCTGATGACTTCAATAATCATGTTGTCTATTTTAATTCAATATATTCAATATGTTCATTCCCAGAGTCGATTACTACAAAGGCGTACAGTAAGTTGGAATATATTTTGACCAATAATGAAGTAAAATTTCTGTTTATACACAGATTTAGTCATAACCCTCTTTAATGGATATTTGTGTCTTAAATTGTAATTTCAATAATTAATTTTTTCAAAAATTAGATTACTATAAGATTACTAGGTACTCAATAAATAGTAAT